ATCTATATCTATATCTATATCTATATCTATATCTATATCTATATCTATATCTATATCTATATCTATATCTGAACAAGTTCAGTTTATGAGAACTGGAGATTCCAAAGTCTATATTTGTCCTTTTGGTTCCATAAGCACTTCATTCCATAAAGGTGGTCGCTGCAAAGTATTTGTGCTTCCCCTTTGTTCAGTGTCAGTGGATTTCCCATCTATGGGGTTTCACATGGCTTACAGCTTACCCTGTGGGATGCTGTAGAAGGAGCAGCAGCAGCAGCAGCAGCAGCAGCAGCAAATGCATTGAGTAGACAACCTAACCCTGAAAAAACATACTTTATGCTTCCACAAAAGGCAGTCTGCCATTTTGGGAATGCACGAAGTACAGAAAGTCATTCCAGACCCATGGATGCATGAAAAACTTTACTTGTTTATTGAGGTCTGGTCTCAAGCTTGAATAAATTGTATATACCAAGACTATCTATACTTTATCCTTTTTAGTTTTTTTTTTTTCTATTAATGATAGAATTGGGGAGCATTCTTTTGAGTGACAAGCATGGGCTCATTGCCTGAGACTGCAGTTCAATGAATCAGTGATGGAACCTTTGGTTCCCTAGATGGAGAGCAGTTCCCAACCTTCTTTATCATGGCCACCATGAATTGATCCCATGGAACTCAGTGGAGCTTAGGTTTGAGAAGTGCATTATAACTGTACCATCTATTGATAGCTGCAAGGCTGGTATTAGGAGAACCTGAATGTTTAATTTAAAAATGAAAGCTTCTTTTCAAACCTTGTTGTTTGGAATAAAATAACCAAATGCATGTAGTTATTACATGGAAAGGCTCCATAACAGGAAATGCTTTGGGCAAACCTTTCTATGATTTAGTCTGTTATCCTAGTAATCTGTTTCCTACCTGTCTCCAAAGATCATAGCCGTCCTCTCAGTCCCAGTTACTGTTATTATAGCATAGCCCAAGTGACTAAAATATTCCAATATCTTGATAAACCTGAGGAAAGGAAAATAAGGATGAAGAAATATATGCACAATTGCTGACCGTCTTTTCTCACTAATGTTAGCTGCTGTATTCCAACCAAAGTTAGAGCTGCTCTGACATCCTGTAAGGAAAGTGGGACGTAATCCTGCAGCCTTGGGTCATTCATCTGTATAGATTTCCATTCCTTACCCAATACATTTTGCTTCAATAATATTTTGCCAATGCTTGAAGGTAGGGTGTTGCAGAATTCTCTTTGGTTGTAAATTATTGTTCTTAGCACTACAACTGAATTTCTTATGGCCCAGAATCAGGACTGGCATTAGTATGGTTATTTGGAATAATCAAGCATGCATACAAATTGTGACTAGAATGTATACATTGTGCTAAACCAACATGTGCATGGCTTGGTTTTGGCTCAGCATGTTGTGTAAGCCTAGCCATTGTAGTTGATGGCTTGGTACGATGTGAGGAAATACTCAGTTGAAGTTTATCCAGTAACCATTGTTGAACAAACTGGTTGACAGTAGTGCATGAGCCAATTGCTATGTGATTTTCCAATGCATATTTACAGTTTAAGATGCAGCATATTTATCTTGCCTGTTGGTAAGGTAGACATTACGTGGGACGAAACAGATCAAGAAAGGGTGACTTCTTTGAGCAAAACTTTTAAAAAAGATGAACTTCTAGACATGGACTTCCAAGCTTATTTGGCTTCATCAAGTGAAGAAGAAGAGGAGGATGAGAAAGAAAAAGGTATTGCTAATTGATAAGGTTCATCTAAGCAGTTCAGGATTTTAAAACAATATTGTATTAATTATTTTCATGGTGTCTATTAAAAGAAACTAATGGGTACATTATACTATGCTTTTAATAAATCAAACATTTAGTTCTTTTTTTTTAAATTCCCCCTCACTAGCACCCTTGCTCTACCTGATTAGGAGTCTCATTTAAAACCTCTGAGACACAAGCGTTGTGTAGGTGCTATGGGAAGCCATATTGTCTACTATGTGAATGATCCTGTACAAGCTTCTGATTTATAGGCTTTTTTCCCCAGATCTCTGCTGTTCCTTTTCATGGACATGAGAAGGGAAGTGTTCCCTTTCAGTTTAAAGCAAACTACAGACCCTCATGATGTCTGAATTCAGCAGATCATGTCAGGTTCAGCCCAAGAAATGTAGTGGGACAATTCAGGAACAGTTCAGTTACTTTATTAGCTTACACCTACTAGACAGAATC